TGCCTCCAACAGTACGTATAATGTGTACACCACTGTAGAGTTTAATAAACTTGTTTTTGTAACAGGCTACTTACAACTAACTGGATATACAATCGTTTGTCACATTTTTTGTATTATCTGGGTTTAAATAGAGGGTCTTAATGGGGGTCTTTGGGTGTCAGTTGTCAGCTAAAATTTAAGCCAATTGTCAGTTGTCAGTGCGATATATTGCAAGCTGTCAGTAGTCAGTTACTGCAAAATGCTGACTTATAATTTTTTTCATCATTTCTCAGTAGTCAGTTAGGATATTTTGTCAGTTGTCAGTCAAAAATTCAGGCAAATGTCAGTAGTCAGTTAACCCCATTCAGACCCTCTAAATATAGTACTATCAAGTATCGTTTCCGACATTACAAAAGCAAAATCTGATATTGTCATTGATGATTGAAGCTGTTAAAGCGACTAAACTTCGGCATGGCCATGGGGGTATTCATTGAAGTTACATTGTACATCTATGTGTTTTCGACGCTGAATTTCAATCAAACAAATCAATTTTTCATTTATATTAAATGTATTTTTGAAATTGAAGTTACCTTCATATAAACTTTATACATGTTTGTGATTGATGTTCAAGCGGATAGTATTTTTAGCATGAAGCATATTTATTTTATTTATTTATATTCGCAGTGTATTATATTTAATGTCGGATTGCATCATACACTACACTGCGCACAATTGCTGCTGAATTCAGCGCATTCTACTTTGCGTGCCGTGGTTTCCTTCTCTGTCTGCTGGCATTTCTGCTGGAATTGCGCCCCCCCCCTGTAAATTATTATTATGTATATCTCCTGTGGTGCAAAATGCTCTAATTTGCATAAATTATGCTCGGTTCCAGGTTCCGGTTCCAGGTTCTGGTTCCTGTATCGCTGTATCGTTGTATCGCTGTATCGCTTTTTAGTAGTAGCCCTAATTCATGCTGTATCATTACTCAATACTGGCTTTAGTCCTTGAAGAACTAATTATAAATTTGTCACTGCACTCTCGTTCCACCAAAATAATAATTATTCCCACATATATTCATTACTTATTACTTACATTCAAAATCATTGACCAATCAGGTTGCAAAACAGCTCGACCAGCCGAAGCCAGGGCCTTTTTCGCTGACCACCCAACCGCGGAAGCAAAACGCCCTGCGTACGAGGTTGCAAGATTACAACCATGAATATATAAGCGAATTAAAAACAATTGGAATTTTGGCACTCCTGTGTGTCAGCCATCTTCTTTGAACTGCATGCTAACAATTTGGTATTACGTAATATTTAATCTATGACGATGTTTACGAAATGTGTACACATTTGAGACATGCGCAGAATGGACTGTAATCCAGCTTTATTATCAGTACAGCGGATGTGCAGTTTGTTTACATTTTGAAGACATGCACTATATTCATAAAATATGATGCAATTCGTTAATTATCGTTCTGGTTCGCTATGCTTTTAAATAAATATCGGATTAGAGTTTCAATTTAGAAGATGTCGAAACAACGCGAAATTTGGGTATTGTTTATACCAGAGGGTCTTCATCTTTTAATGTGCTCATAAATGTTGGGGATACTTGTAATTAGAACTAGAAATACATCCATGCAACAACCCCTCGCCTATATTTTCCAAACATTGTTTCAACATGAAGTATTCGTAATTACGCCAACGGGACTCAACGCAGGCTCGCGTTGCCACGTCATGTTAGTCATGGCAACACGATAATTTTTTAAAAATTTTTTTGTACAAACCGGGAAAAAATAGATGAAATTTGAACACTTTTAAATATAGAACTAGCAATTTCTAAAATATATAAAGTAGGTATAATATTTTGGTTTCTATGGGCTTTATCAGTTTAATGTAAAATTCAAAACGAAACTCTACGTAAAATTATTTTAAATGTGAATTGAAATCAACTGCTTTTTACCGATATGGATGTTTATAAACTCTTCAACTCGAGTTTCAACTTATTACTATAGGCAGCCCAAAACAGCGTGTAGAATGCACCAAATGCTTCCAAATATCAATTTATATTAATTAAGCTCGCCCCATTCCTCTGTCATTTGTCGCGCGCTGCAAGCACTCGATGAAAAGCATTGTACAAACCGGGAAAAAATAGATGAAATTTGAACACTTTTAAACACAGAACTACCAATTTCTAAATATATAAAGTAGGTATAATATTTTGGTTCCTATGGGCTTTATTTTAATGTAACGAAACTCTAGCTACGTAAAACGATTTTAAATGTGAATTGAAATCAACTGCTTTTAATTTTGCCGATATGGATTTTTATAAACTCTTCAACTCGAGTTTCAACTTATTACCATATAGGCAGCCCAAAACGGCGTGTAGAATGCACAAAAGCATTTGAAATGCTTCCAAATCATTCTCGTACCCAGAGCTCTTCTTACGCGCGGTGAGCTCTGGCCAAATCCATAACTGGATACCATAAAACATGGTAAGAAAACAATATCCGGTGTTAGAACTAGCCAATCAGATGCCAGTTCAGATATGGATTTGGCCAGAGCCCCTCGTCGCACCGCGCGTAAGAAGGGCATCAGTGAGAAGATCAGTGAGATGACCACCCACCGAACCACGCACGGTAACCCACGCCCGCGATCATTGATGAACTTAGTACGCGATCATTGATGAACTTAGCGGAATTAGTACCCTCAGCCCGGGCTCACGCTCGGAACGGCGCTCCGCGCCTTTTGCTCGGGGAATATGGTTGAGAACTTTGCCCTTAAATTAATATTTTGCTCACGCCTAATTCCCGATTTCGACGAGTTACGTTTTGAGACATGGCGACTTTTTCCAATGACCACACCCAATTTCTTAACTCTTCCGATGTTTTCTTTCAACTAACGTAAAAAAGCTATTGGAGGGTTAACCTATTTGTAATTCTACTGTTATGGTTGTACATGCGAAGGGAGGAAAGACTTATGTCGGATTTTATTTTTAATCATATAGAGGGCAAAATTACTCAAATAGGATTGGCTAATGATGATGGCATTTTTTCTTAATTCAGGGCAAAATTACTTGTACCTGATTGGCTGAGACGCAATCCTTAAATTAGGAGCCCATCCTTAAATTAGTTAAAAACTTCTAGTGAAAACTCGAACACCAGGGAAAGTACAAATTTATGGGTTGGAACAGGGCAGGCGAAGACATGGAGACATACGAGGATCAAGAACTTGACAAGTTCACAATTTACTTACGAACAAATTTGCCCTCTATAATTAACAAGTAATCGCATAGTTCCTCGTAAAATTAAGGTTTAATTTCACTGAATCACAATTTGTGAAACTTCGAAAACACGCGTGAAATTAAACCTTAATTTTACTAGACCCCATGCAATGACTATTTAACAGTTTTCAAAAATATATAGGCCTATTTATTAGTTTTTACTATTTTAAATTTTAAAAATTCATCCCTGAGCCAAAGGCGCGGAGCGCCGTTCCGGGCGTTAGCCCGGGGAGAGGGTACTAATTGTGCCCAGCTATTTACACCTGGAGAGACGAAAGCATTAGAGAAAGTATTAGCGAAGTCTAAAGTTTATCAATGATCGCGGGCATGGGCAATCTCGTTCCCAGAGTATGCATGCCACTACATAACCAGCGAACAGGCATACTCTGGGAACGAGATTGGGGCATGGGTGACCAACGGTGTTGAGTGGGTGGTCATCCCACTGGGTCATCCTCACTGATCTCAAAATATGTGGCGGACTGTCATGAATAGCAAACACTGGTCAAATTTAAAATTTGTTGTTGTATGACAAATGACGACAGCGAAATAACAAACATTTCTTGCAAATCAGCAAATATATTGTATTTTTGCAAGAGTTTGCAAATTTCAAAACCTTTTTGAGAGCCAAACACCGTCTAAAAACGTCTTAAAGTGTGGAGGAAAGTCGCCGACGTTAATGAAGGTAAGTTTGTTTTTAATATTGATGTATTGTTTGCTTTATAGTAGCCTTAAAAACTGATACGATCGTTGCGTATATACGTATATGCCTAGGACGGCTAGATAATCATGCGATGGCGAGTACAATTAGAGCTTAATAGTACGAGTGATGTTCGGAAATTTTGCGGAAAATTGCACGAGCCTCCGTGGCGTGTCCAATTTGGCAAATTTCCAAACATCACGAGTACTATTAATCCCTAATTGTACGAGCAACATCGCCAACATCATATTCTCTCGCCAAAGCCCAGTCCTGCCATACTTTCAACCAAAATTTGGTGCTTTTGTTCGTATTTTAATTTAGTTCTTTTGTTAAAGCAAAATTTGGTGCTTTTGTTCGTATTTTCATCTTGTTCCTCTGGGGCAATTTCATTTCACATTTGATTTGTGTTTAAAATACCTTTCCGCAATTTTGTTTGTTTTTGGAAAATCATTTTAAATTTGTACTACAGTACAATCATAAATTAAGTGAGAATATACTTCATCTGTGGTACACTTAATAAAATAATTGTGCTCCTCTCAACCAATCAGCATTCAGTAATTTTGTCATGCTAATAATAAAAAGCGAAAAAGACAGCATATAAATTCATGGGCGTACCGGAAGGAAAAAATTAGGGGGGCGGAAAGAAAATTGCCCGACTTTTCGGGATTCTGCCTGACTAGTACCAAAAAATTTTTTCCGGAAAAAATATTAAATCTCCACTCGATTGACCTATCGGCGAACTGACGTATATTAAAGTATACCTATTATTACCTAAGGTTGGCAAGGGGTTTCAACTGATTGAACTACACACAAAAATATATCCGTAGTATTTTAAAAAGCAGAAAGAAACTAGCCCTAAAAACAACATAAACATAAACATAAACATAAACATAAACAAGGATAATTTTAGTAACCTGTCTGTAACTTTTTTTGTCAAAGTACAGCTTTAAATGTTGATAAATTTACGAACGTTTACGGTTTTTTCTCGATATTTTTCTCTGTACGTGTCTATGCATCCTGCTAATGGACAAATTTTTCAAAATAAAACTCTGCTGTTCATTGGCTGTAGCAAGTTTCGTCGTCAGCGATTTCGTTCGTTACTTACGACGAAACTTGCTACAGCCAATGAACAGCAGAATTTTATTTTGAAAAATTTGTCCATTAGCAGGATGCGAGCACAGAATAGATACCGGACCAGAAGTGTCACTCCTATGTGTTTTGGCTGAAGGAAAACGTCCGAAATTTTTTTGCGTGCTATGACGCCATCCTGGAGTGCACCCGGCACTTTGTACCTATGTTTTCCTATGAAAAACGTCCGTGTGTACTCCAGGATGGCGTCATATGATGGCGTATTTTCACGTCAGCACTCGTAAAATTTCGGACAAAATATCGTCTGAGTGACACTTCAGGCACAGAGTAGAGACATACAGAGACGTAACTAGTGTACCCACTTTTTTTGTGCGCGTGCTCGGCAAGTTACTAGATGCATGCATCTGATTGGATGACGTCCTGATGACGACTAACTTTAAACTTGCTGAGCACGCGCAGTTGATCATTTTTCGCCCGGTCGCCTGAAAAAAAGTGGGTACATGATAACGTAATCTTCCGCAGTGTTTACAATGGTCAGTTACGTCTCTGTATGTCTTATCTACTCTGTGCTTCAGGTCCTGCATCTATTCTGTGATGCGAGCGAGCATCCCGCATAGTCACAGAGAAAAATATCGAGAAAACACCGTAAACTTTCGTAAATTTATCAACATTTAAAGCTGTACTTTGACAAAAAAAGTTACAGACAGGTTACTAAAATTATCCTTGTTTATGTTTATGTTGTTTTTAGGGCTAGTTTCTTTCTGCTTTTTAAAATACTACGGATATATTTTTGTGTGTAGTTCAATCAGTTGAAACCCCTTGCCAACCTTAGGTATACTTTTAATTTACGTCAGTTCGCCGATAGTGCAATCGAGTAGAGATTTAATATAAGCTACATTTTGCAATATATTTCGCTAATTTGTGATTATTTTCGTTAAATTTTATAATTTCATTGTAGTTTTAATTTAACTGATTCAGTCGTTTAGTGGGCTGCCTATGGTGTACCGTATTTTTATTAATTACCCTTTTTTGTATATTAAAATATTTAAATAATGAGGAAAGCAAAGTTAAGTTTTCACGCAAGAATTTGAAATCAGTTTATATCAATTTTCAAACTTAATAGTTACCTATAAAAGACAGTTTAGTTTTAAGAACATTTAAAAGTACTGAAAACGTTTTGCCAAGCCAAAGCGTTTGTGGTTGAATTTTACATTAAATTGAAGCTTATATTACGTATAATATTCAGAAATAATAACATACCTAGCCTAGCTGTCCTAGCATATATATGTTTGGGAAATTGATCATTTTGTAATTAAAAGTGATATTTTGGGGGGATTTTTAAATTTTAAAACTATTCTTAAAATTATCGCGTGTTTAGACCATGACAATACTTCAGTCTTCACTTCATGTTTGGAAAACATAATTTTTTTTCAGCAAGGTGAGGGTTTCTGCATGCATGTATTTTCTAGTTTGCTAACCTGTAAACAGTTTTGTGGGAATTTTTCATTGTGTTTTTACTGATCCTGTAAGACTATAAAAAGCGAACAACTTGCCAATTTCTCGTTCACAATGCAAAACGTTGGAAATCAGTTTGAGCCGCCATTTTGTTTTTCTGATTTTTGACTCACGGATGTTGCGAAGCAACATCTGTGAGTCTTTGTGGTTTACTTGAGTGGGGCAGTTAAACAATGGGAAATGACCAGCCTGCTTTGCGCGCAGTGTTTGCCTGCGAACGGGTCTTTTGGAACCGGAAATTGGGCTGGAGCACGCTTCACGTAATCACGTTCTTTTCAACCAGGGTTGCCAACTTGGCTCTTTTTAAGCCAGATTTCACGATTTTGGCTTCTTTTTCTTGCGCTTGGCTTAGGAAAATATTGCTTGGCTTATCTTTATTATCTGGCTTATTTTGGCTTCTTTTTATAAAATGGAGTTAAAATCATATATTCGTATTTATTTAATCAAATATAGCTTCATTTTTCTTTATCAAAAATTTCAAAGCTTAATATTTAATAGGATCACTTCCAAGTTCCAACCAATGACAGCAAAGTTCTCACTTTGTTGCTATTTGCTACTGTCTTCGCAGACGTCCGACAACCATGAAAATTTTTTGATCCTTCTAAAAACTAATTTTAAGTTCGTAAACAACTAATTCGTAAACAACTAAAATAATCAAGGTGATTTATTTTAACGTCTTTGAAAATGAGTTTGAGCAAGCCGTCGGCGACGGCGTCGACTAATCGAGGAAATCGGTGGAAGAGTCATTATGATTCATCGCGTAAGTTCAAGTCGGATTGGACAAGAAAGTACCCCTGGATTAAAAAAGCAATGGATGGATCAGACGATGCGCATTGCTCGCTATGCCGAACAAATATCACCCCAAGGTTGTCAAACATCAGCAAACACGAAGAATCTGCGAAACATAAAAGACAAGCAAATTTGGTTTCTCATAATTCCAAAATATCACTTGCACCTCGTAATGTCAATGATCATATTAAAGAGATGGAACTTCAACTTGCTCTTGCAATAACATGCCACACATCGATCATGGCCATCGACCACCTGGGCGAAATTATGGTAAACCATGGAAAAGGCAGTAGTCTGGAACACTTGAAGTTACATCGAACTAAATGTAGCCTACTAATCAAAGAAGTGATCGCTCCTGCCCTGTACAGAGATTTGTGTGAAGATATGGCTGGTCAGAAATATTGCGTCATTTTGGATGAGTCAACAGATGTTTCATGTAATAAACTTCTTTGCGTGATCATTCGCTTCTACAGCAAGTCGGAGAAAAAAATCGTTACCGCCCTTCTGAGCCTCATACCAGTAATTAAAGCAACGGGCGAGAATTTGTTTCAAGCACTGAAAGGTTCGCTGGAGAACGCTGGCCTAAGTCTTGCGAATTGTGTCGGTTATGCCAGTGACGGAGCATCTGTTATGGTCGGGGAGCATAACTCAGTATGGTCCCGTATCAAAGAAGAGTCTCCAAACTGCATCCTCATTAAGTGTGTCTGCCATTCGCTTGCCCTCTGCATCAAACATGCTTTTGAAAAAATGCCTGCAAACATTGGTTTCATGCTATCTGAAATACCAAAGTGGTTCTCTAAGAGTAGTGTACGTCGTGATTCCTACAAGCAGCTCTTTACAGCATTCGAAGGATGCCCTGCAGAAGAGTCAACTCTTCCTCTTCCTTTTCAGAAATGCAATCAAACGAGGTGGTTGGTGCGGGGAAAAGTAATCTACAATATCCTCACTAATTGGGAGATATTGCAGACATATTTTTCTCTTGCGGAATCCGAAGTAGATGTAAATGTTCGATTTAAGGCAAGAATGATCAAAGAAATGCTCAATGATCCAATAAACCATCTCTACTTCCACTTTCTATCACCCATGGTGTCGGAAGTCGAGAGAGTGAATGCATTCTTCCAAGCAACTGATCTTGAAGCACATGCGATGATGAAGGAGCTCAGTGTCTACTATGACAGCCTTAAAGGTCGTGTTTACAGTTCGTCTGGTGTACCCTTACCGACGGATAAAGTGGATTATGGAGCAAAGTTTGTCTTCGAAGCAGATGCCCTAATTCCCCACCAAAACAATGATGAACATACAGTTCGTAAAGTTCGCGAAGTCTACGGGAGATGCCACACAATGCTTCTGGAAGCGGCAGCCCAGGTTCAGAAACGTCTTCCTTCTTCTAAGGACATTTTTCAAGGCTTATCCCATCTACACCCTTCGAAGATTCTAAACCAAGTTGGGCGTATCGCTTTGGCTAAACTACCAATGCAGCATCTGATACACGAAAAGATTGATGAAATAGACAATCAGTACCGCAGCATTTTGTATGTGAATTGGCAAGAGAGTGGCACTTTTGAAGATGGCATTCCGAACGATACCATTAGCTTTTTGTCCGGTGTGCTAGAGTACCAAGACGGCCAATTTGAAGATCTTGCAACCTTTGCACTAGCCTGTCTTACAACGCCAACAAGCAATGCCGTGGTAGAGCGCATGTTCTCTTACGTTACGAGAATCAAGACGAAGTCCCGCAACAAGATGAGTTCTTCCATGCTTGAAGCGATCGTGAGAATCCGCACTCATCTGTATTTTAGAGAAATGTGCTGCAAGGACTTGAAGCCATCTAAACGAATGCTGGAACTTTTTACAAAAGATATTTACAAGAAAGCAACTGATTCTTTGAATGACGAAGACGAAGTTGAGTTACATGAGTAACAAGTCAACAACAATAAATGTAAACTTTCTGCACTACATATAAACTGAGGCCTTATCATATGTTCCATAAAGTCATAAACTAGTAAATTTGTAGTTTCATAAATTAAATAGCAAAACATTTCGAGTGTAATTTGTAAATTTGTTGTCTACTACTCTTTGTGTGATTGTGTCAGCCAAAACGGTGTAAATAGACGACATCCCCAATCCCCTCGCCACAATTTAGAGTTTGGCTCTTTTTGGCTTATTTTGATATTCAGTTTGGCTTTTTCTGTCCCAGAAAACCTGGCAACCGATTAATAAGACGATAAGTCATACACACAATCCATAGATAGAAATATATTTAAACAAGAGGCAACCTTTTCATTCAAGGAGCCAAAATTAATCCAACTAAACAAAACATGGGCTAGACTATATAAACGTTACCGTCACTCGCGGGCGCATATCAAAGGCAATACGTCATGTAATACTGGCGTAACTTCTCTTTTTTCTTATTTTATGACAAAAGTTAAATATCTAAAATTGTATAACCAATTAAAATTTATGATCAGATATTCTTAGCTATTTGTCCATCACATAGTCACCGAAACGTTCTGGGGGACGTCGTTGTCTGCTGGACCTACGCAGAGGCACACTCTCACCCGGGCCATTAACATATTCATTCCCTCTTGACTCGTCTTCTGTATGGGGTTCACCTTCTAAATTACTCGGTTCGCAGTAGGCATTGGCATTAACACTAGGTTCGTTACAGTGTGACGTTTGGCTAGGCGGCGTAGAAATCGCTGTTGGAATACTTGGTGGCGCTGGTGGAGGTGGGGTCACTTGAGACAGCATAGGTGGTTGTGATGATTCAGCTTCGTCAGCCGACGAGTCTTCGTCATTAGGAGTAGACTGACGGGAGCGTTTAAGCTCCGACGGCACTCGGTAGCACTCGGATATCTTTACATGATAAGACGTATTTCGCAACTGTGAGCCCACGAACTTCTTGACATTGCAAAATGGTCCCTTTACTTCAACTACGAGGTAGCGGTCTCGTGCTCTTGTCTTGTTGCGGTCTGAGTATAGGTACACTAAATCACCGACGGTGATACGTTCGGGGGTACGAAATTCTGCAACTGGGGCCTTCGATTTCTCACTATGGGCATGGTTGCTTGTGCGTTGTTCATTCTGCTTCATGATAATGTCCTGATCTTGAAGAGGTATCTGTTCGTTTGAAAACTGATCGCGCTGGGACCACATTTCCCTAGCTGATAAACCGCGCGTTCGAATACGCGAGTTGAGGTTGGCTGTGGCTACCGCAAGCGTAACATGCGAAACTGGACCACCTAATGGATCACGATGGAGAAGCTCACTGACCACTTCTTGTACCGCTCTTTCTGCAACAGGATTCTTGTTGGGGTTCTTCGCATGACCTATTTCTAATGAAATCCTGTGCTGTTTCAGAGTATCATCGTCTGCAAGAGCTTTGAATCCGGGTGCTGGATCAGTTCTTATGACCGCTATGGGTCCATCTAATGGTCTCATTGGGACACATAGACGGATTAGGGCATCGCGTAACGTGTCATGGCGTTCGTTTTCGAGAAGAGTTGTAGCTGTGAGTGAGGTTACACACTCTCGCAATACCAAGATCAGTTGTTTGGAGCGTTTCGCGATATCGGCAGCAAATGCTACACCAACAGTACTTGGTGGAGAGCAGGACGACTGTTCTATACGTGCTGTTGGGGTCTTTCGTAATGCGGCGCAATGGTGACAACTTTCGCTTACACGATTAACAACTTTGTCCATGTCCAAGGCAAACAAATAACGTTTTACAACGACTTTAAGCTGATGGCTGGACGGATGGCTGAGACGAATATGTAGAGCCGTCAGCAAACCTTCTAGTACTTGCCGAGGGATAATAATACATTCACGGCTTGGCACGAGTGGTTCATTTCGTTTAACAACCAGCAAGCCGTCTTTGGCAATGGTAGCAACAAGGAGGTATCTTTTTACATCCGTAACGTTTGTGAGTTTCTTCGATGGACGTGTTCCTTGTAGTAAGTGGGCGCGAGTGCGTCGTAATTCGGGACATTCAGCTTGTATGGGCCCCCAAGTGGCTCGGTTAGTAAACGGAAGTCGCTCTACACCGGATAATATGTCCTGTACCGCCGCTCGTCTGATAACAGAATCTTGGGTCTGTTTCGTAAATGAACAAATTTGACAGGCCTCATCTTCACACGGTGCGGCGTTGCGACTTGCAAAGTCAGAGGGGAGAATAGCAGAGCCAGATACATGTCTAACAGACGCCTGGTATCGGCTTACGGTAGAGAGAAACGTTGAAACCCTCGGGCTTGCGGAGAACTCACCACGACAAAGCTTTTCATAGGCCTGTACACAGGGCTTGCTGTCCGTTAAGATACAGGCCTGATGGTGCGATTGTATCAGGTAGGGGCTGAAGTGCTTGACAGCAACAGCAATGGACAAGGCTTCTACCTCGCATGGTAGCCATCTGACTTGTGAGCCCCGTAACTTCGCACTAAAAAAACCTGCGACACGAAGCTTGCCGTTCCTGGTGACGTAAAGTGTGGCGCCTATTCCAGGACTGCGAATAGCTCCATCAGTCACAATCCAAATTTGATCTTCTGGTTTTGGCAAGGTTATAGTGCGAGCTGCAGACAAAGCAGCCTGTGCCCTGCAGAATACTGCATGGAGCTCGTCAGTCCACTGAATTTGTTCTTTGGACTGGCGGCCGGCTACGGCGTCGTCAAGTTTAGAGAGCAACGATGAACACCCTGGAATGACGCGAGATAGCACTTTAAAAGCTCCTATAAATGATCTTAGTCGATACACAGTCTCTGGCTTTTGGCACGAAGCAAGGGTCGCAATGCGATGTGGACTTGCACTTAGTGTACCTGAATTCCATATCCATCCTAATATCGTTGTCGACTTAGGATTGATCACGGTCTTTAGTGCGGACAGACGGAGATCAGATTTCTGCAAGGCTACCAAGACTCTCTTCCAATTTTGTAAAAGCTCTTCAGGGGTATTGCCTCCGCAATATAGGTCATCTGCGATTTTTGCAACGACTCCTTCTTCCAACAGATCACCCAGCACTCTACACATCAATTCCTCAAGTGCGGTTTCGGAGCCCGGCATGCCCATAGCAGAACGTACATATACTCTTACACCGCGGAAAGGAGTAGCAACACCACAATACTTCATAGACTCGTGTGCGAGTGGAATCTGATAAAAGGCATTTGTCAGATCTGTAGCGATTAGGTGTTTCCATTGAGCTATGTGGCGAAGGGTAGAATCAACATTTGACATCAATGAAGGCTGTGGTTTACTATAACGACCAACATCTGCGAAGGCAGTTACAAGGCGGGAGCCACCACTCGACTTCTTCACAAGAAATGACGGGTTCAGATACTCCACGGAAACATTGACATCTTCCGGACGCTTGAAAACACCCAACTTTTCAAGTTCATCAAACTTTGCCTGAAGCTCCTGCAACTGGTCACGGGCATATTGAGGTAGGCGACCCTTTCGCTGAGGTGGTTCCACAGGTCCCATGTTCACCTTAGCTTCAAATGAGCCTGCTGCTCCGTTATAGCCCTTGATATCTCGGTCGAAAACATGGTCATAGGACTCCATAAGTAAGGTAAACTTCCTTCTGACGTCTTGTGGCAGGAGGTTGTCTGGGTCAAGGCATACATCCGACGAAAATGTATGGGTTTGTAACGACTTAGGAGCTGGGTGGACTGCTAGTTTGTGATCACCACAGTTTAATTCAGGTGTATACACTGGCCGTACCTGACAAAAATGCTCGTTTCGCTTTAACGACCGAGGTTCTGACGAGAGATTTGGAATTCGTATTCTCCCTGCGACACTTGACACTATGTTGGGACAGGGCCACAATTGGGATGCTGTTAATCTCTTTACACTGGGGGCATCAATTCGAGGCTCTAAGGCATACTCTGTATCTGCTGGAACATCACCTGGTAGCTCTATCTCAACGAATTCACCAGGCCAGACCGTCGTTGATGTTGGAGGGGCACGGAGCACCAATGCACGGCGTGCTGCTGCGTTGATGCTTGAGATTGCACCGATCCATATGTATAGGCTGAACCATTACTAAGTATTACTTGTCGCTTTGCTGGGCGGACTGCAACGTCATTGGTTTCCATGAAAGGTGTACCAGCCAATACATCCACGTCCAGGTTCTCAATCACCAGTCCTTCAAAGATGAATTCTTTGCCATCACGGTGAAATGAAAGGCGTGTCTCGCCAACAACATGAAGAGGGGATGAACCATCTGCCTGGTGGACTGATTGGGAACTCTCTGCTACACGACAACCGAGGCGCTGAACCGTTCGGTGGCGAATCATGTTCCCAGTTGCTCCGCTATCTATTGTTATACGCACTGGATGATGGTCATAGAACATGTCCACATATGGGGATTGTCGAGTCTGAATGCGGTAGGCTCTGGAACTGGTCTTCGGCTCTTCATCTCTCAGATCACAAGCGGGATCAGCTCGATTTATGCTACTCTCGGATTCGGGGATATCTTCTAAAATTTCTGCAATCTGTCTGGCTTTTACCATGTATCTGCGATCTTGGTCTGGCAGGAAGTTACATTCACTCAAAAAGTGGCTGCTGTTAGTGCGGCCAGCTTGTTTGCAAAGGGGACATGACTTAAGTGGTCGATTTGATCTGGTATTTGGTCTAGCAAGCAGTCTCTCACTACCAGGCTTTCGATAGCTGCTAACTGCTGTACGCATTATTTTGGCATCATCAGCTGTATGAATTTCCTCCAGCAATGAGGACAGGGCCTGTGATATCTCTGGTTTGATAGACGCCAGTGTTCGTGATCTTAACTCTGTGCCGTACCTTTGTTTTACTAATTTTGGTAACTCAGGGTTGATAAGTCTGAGCCAAGTGAGAACAATAAGATTTTCAACAGTTGGTGATAACTCCTCATCTTCAGCAAGCTGCACCCCATGGTGGGAGAGGCTGTTAGCTCGAAGTAAACAGTCCTCGACAAAGGCTACTAATCTCTGGTATAGGTCTTCAGGACGCTCGTCTGTTTCTAAGCGTAGATTTGTGAAATCAAGAAAGTGTGCTCCTGTCACTTGGAAACCAAAGTGTTCTCGTATTGTATTCCAGATAGACTGTATAGAGGTTGAATTTTTGACCAAAGTGTTCCTAGATATGATTGGGCAATAATTTGCTGTTTGACCAAGCATAAGTTCCAAGAAATTTACTTTCTGTTGGGCTGTTTGACGACTGTTCTGGGCAACGGCTTCGCCGTCATCTGTAAACCCACGTAAAGGCTGAGCCCTAGTCTTCTTTCCCCACGTAGCGTCTTCGGCCAGGAATGGTGCGAAATTGCTGTCAAGTGACAAAGAGTAGATTAAATTCTGCCTCCAGTTTTCAAAGCTAGTTATAGTCTCGATCTTTGAAAGGCACCATTGCTTTGGAGCTCGGTGAGTACTAGCCATAACTGCTACTATTAATCCGATGGACGTGCTTTACAGCGAAATATTCGAAGTGTTGACTTAAATTGTAATTTCAGAGTTAGACATAGATCGGCATTTAACACTCAGTTGTTTCCTGACGCCGATAACTTGGCGTAAGTTCAACCGCGCTGCCACCACGCCAGTTAATAAGACGATAAGTCATACACACAATCCATAGATAGAAATATATTTAAACAAGAGGCAACCTTTTCATTCAAGGAGCCAAAATTAATACAAGTAAACAAAACATGCGCTAGACTATATAAACGTCACCGTCACACGCGGGCGCATATCAAAGGCAATACGTCATGTAATACTGGCGCATAGTACCAGATAGATTTGGGGTGAAGCCTTTTTGTATGTTATGTTCTATAAAGTTATTGGCGGTGACAAAGGAGTACATTGCTTTACGTAGACATGATGTGAATACTTTAAGCGGTATAGATTCGAGTGTGATCGGTTGGAAATTTGAGGGAATACTCGTGTTGCCCTTCTTATGAATAAGTGTAGTGCAAGTATTTTACTATTCACTAGGGATAGATCCTGAAAGCCAGACGGGCGTATTAGTTCAGTTAAATAAGTTCTTATGTAAGGACATCGCTTAACGCATATAATTGATATTTGATCGAGAGGACAAGGAGAACCAGATGCTTTCATTTTAAGAATAACAACAGTAACTTGTTGGTAAGAAGGCGGGTCAAGATCAAATTGCACTTGTGGATCAGAAAACCTAGCAATCCAGCTAGGAATATGAAACAGTTTGCTAGGGTGAACTGCAGCTAAACTGCTAAAGTTTTAGTAAAATAAATCGCACATTCTGTCATGCTGAAGGATGGGAACACAGTATCTTCCTTATTTACAACGTTTTCAACATAACCCAAAAATATCTTTCTATGTATCTGTCATGATTAAACGAGTTGTTTCGGTTGGAGTCTGTCTAAATGTCACCATGGTTACGAAGCTTATTGAGCAGAATACGATATGATTGGTCCATTAAACCCTTTTAATATGCAAATTTAAAATAATCGTTGACCATTTCCCATTCCGAGTCCTTCTTCGGAAGATTTTTGCTTTTCTTTAGATTAGGAGTAAGTTTTTTACTGTCTAATGTTGACTGTCTAGTGGGTGAGTGGTCGTCCGTTATGATATTCTCAGGGTTATCAGCAATTTGCTCCTCAAGATCTGCGCATAACTCGTTGTTTAGCCCATGTAAGACTTGACAGCTACGCTGGTGAATTTTCAAACGCCCATTGCCTTTACAAACTTTTTCGCAGCAACATTTAATTAATGTTCGTTGAAAATGTGTAATAAGTATGTTAGGGTTACTCAAAGCAGGCATTTCTCTTTCTGTGTTTTCAGAGCGGCTTTGATCATGATTAATACGTTGTTTATACGCCGCCATTAGTGTCCCCCAAGCGTTGCAAAATCTTGGCCAAAGAATGAACACACGACGCAAATGAGCAACATAGCAATAAAACTTGACATTGCTAGAAATCCCGGACATTATTTATTCTAATTCCATAAAATTTACATATCACTTGGAAATATGGCTTTAACTTTAAACAGTAGATTGTAGTCATTGTACAACGCGATGAGGTAAATCGCAAAATCTAAGAATATGGCAGATCGTTTGCAACTTGCCGGAATCGCTGGTGCTAAATCGAAGTTCCTCGATGGATCTAGTGTAATTTTGGCCTAGTTTAAGTTGTTGTTTTTCCTGCTTTTTATTTTATTCCTAGTGCCGTACTTTTATATAGAGTTACAGTAAATAGACAAAAATGTAGTTATTAAAATTAACCTTGGTACAAATATAGAACAAGCAGGAATGATAGCAACTTAAATCAGGCTAATATTACACTAAATTCTTCGACAGGCTTTTTTTTGCAGCCAGCGATTGCGGCAAGTTGCAAAGGATGTACCATATTCTCCGATTTTGCGTTTAGAACATCACGTTGTACAATCTACTATATACTGTTGGAACCATATTTCAAAGTGATATGCAAATTAGTAAGGAAGTAGAATAAATTATGTCCGTGATTTCTGGCCATGACGAATCATGGTTAGAAACTTTTGTGTTTGATTTTAAACAAATATGGATGTAATTCAAGGAAGAAACTAGCGATAAAAGTGTGGACATGTACGGCGCTCTTGAACGCTGTGCTCGATGTCGTAATAATGATAATAATGGGAACTTCATTTAATAATTTTGTAAATACTATATATATATGTATATATATATATATATATATATATATATATATATATATATATATATATATATATATATATATATATATATATATATATATATACGAGTAGGTTTGTGTATACGAAACGCAAAGAGTGCCCAATATCATAAAGATAGAGCAAATGTAGAATAGCAAATTCAGAAACAATGCATGACTAAGGACATAGTATACAAAGCAACAGTCACAAAAAGCAACCCTAACACGATCATGAATTATATTGGCATGACATCAACTGCATTTAAAGAGCGTTTGGCTAACCATAACTATACTTTCGAGCATGAAGAGCACTCAAACAAAACTGAACTTTCGAAATATATTTGGACATTGAAAGATAGCAAGAAAGATTTTAATATCAATTGGCAAATTTTGAAACGCGCTATTTCGTATACGGGAGGATCAAAACGATGTAATTTATGTTTAGAGGAAAAATTTTGTATTTTGAAAGAAAACCAAAACCATTTACTCAATAAAAGAATGGAAATTATATCTACGTGCAGACATAGGAAGAAATTTCGCGTAAACAACGCAAACAATACACTCCCACAATTCGATTAGGCATTTCCGCGTAAACAACGCAAACAATAGATGAATGCATGCTTTGTTTCACCCACACACCCCCACGTTCCGGTCAAAACACATATAAGCAGCCCTATTTTTCGAAACTTGTCATACCGCCTGATGATTCTTTACTGATGAAACAGACTGTTGCGGAATTTTGAGGTAAGCGAAATTCTATATATATATATATAGATATATAGATATATAGATATATATATATATATATATATATATATATATATATATATATATATATATATATATATATATATATATATATATATATATATATATATATATATATATATATATATATATACAATTGTAAACCTCACTAATTAACAAGGTAACTTACAATTGGCTACTTGGATCACAACTGTGAACTAATGATAATAACAAAACTGAATACATGAAAATATATAAATATGCTAGAGAATCAAATATTTCAAATACAGGTAGTATTCTGTGGGCAAATATCTTTCAGTTTCGCTGCCATCGGTCTCCATCCAATTTTAATTTATATAAATCTATAGATTTTGACACGCTGAGTATGAATTTCAATGTTGTCACTCGCACAAACCTGCAGTTTTTGAGTATATTGCCACCAAAGTTCAGTATCTTCCACGGCCTCGAAACAAGATGGCCGCCATTTTTGCCTTACGTACTTCGTGTAATATATGATGAACGGTACTAGTTCAAGTCTTTTTTCCGTGCACTCCGTACATTATATTTTTATTTTAGATGAAGTACAAGGTAGAAGAAATATACTTACAGCACAACTTACAACTCTTACGACTCTTTGCATTGCCAAGCATGGCCTCTTATTGTTTGATTCATTTCGATGCAGAAAGTGGACAGCTTGCACGCAGGGCCGTGCCACCTAGGGGTGGGTATCACCCCCCAAAAAAAAGCAAAAAGGGGCCCAAATTGCGGAGAGGTGACCCCCGAGAGCGGACCGTGTTAAATATAACGGAATTTTCTGGAAAATTGGTAGAAAAAGTCTTCAAAAATAAATTTAAGCCCCCATTATGTAAACCTAGTGTTTGAAAAAAAATTGGGGGCCTCCCCCTCCCCAGTATTTCCCGGAAAAATTCTTTGGTTTCTGGAAAAATTTTTTGAGGGCCCCTCCAAATTGGGAGGGTCCCAATTTTTTTATTTCACCCCCCACCCTCCCCCAACTGAAAACCACTTGGCACGGCCCTACTTGCACGCTTTACAGATTACGCATACAAACGAGTTTGTCACATAGCCAACAGTGAGCTAACCTGAAGTTCAGGCCCTAATCACAGAATAGGGCCTGACACAAAACCTATCAAAACCGTGGGATTCCCGTCTATCTGGTGGACGGTAAATCTGATTGGTTGAGCAGCATCATGAAAGATTTTGATTGGCTGCAAGTTCACAGAAACAACAGTTTTAAAAATAGGTCGGTCAAGGCTCAAGGCGACAATTAATATAAAGGTGAAACGCACGGAACAAATTCCATTATGGATTTCTTCGAATTTCTTTTCTTTTATACTTTATGGCAGAAAATAAATCAAACAAACAGACTGAGTATTTTGAAAGGACTTTATCAAAATCTTTGGCGAATTTTGAAGACACGACGCTGAAAGAACAGCGTCGCTGAAAGAAGACAGAACTTTCTTTCTGAGCTACATCGCCTTCTTCGTGGTACGATTGAGAATTTCATTGTTGCTGTTGTTAGCCCGTTAGAGTATATCCGCGTCCAGCAAGTTGTAGCCTGCGTCGAAGAATTCAATACATCTGCGACGCAGGCTAGCAAGTTGAGACCTTGAGAAAGCTTGGCAGTCAAGGCGTGCACAGAACTGGCTAATTAAATCTTTGTTTGCTGTTCGGTTAAATAGAGAAACTGACTCTTAATTATATAAAAGTACCTTGAATTTTTAAGTTTAGTTAAAAAGCAAAATGCACACTCTGCGGACATGTTCATGTGCGCATAAATTTTTGTGTAGCGAAATCTACAATACTTGTTAATCATATTGCATGCTGTGTCTAAAAATAACATGTGGGCATCCCACGGTCTAGACAGGTTTTGTGTCAGTCAGGCCCTATTCTGTGATGAGGGCCTGAACTTTAGGTTAACAGTGAGTTCGACCACATAGAGAGAGCCATTTGATAATGATAGCAACATATCCGGGCGATACGTATCACCAGTTACTATTGACGGACTTTTGAATCCAGGCACATCAGCGTAGGGCAGAACCGTTCACACTTTGCAAGGTATTGGCCAGAAAGTTCAGGATTGAATTGTGCCTCCACGTAAATCGGTCGAGATAACACTGACATCCAGCGACGACGTGCAGTAATGATTCTGGGCCAAGACAAAAGGAGCATTCTGAACTTGAAGACAATCCGCATCTGCTAAGATTCTTACGTGTCGGTTATTGATATAGCGTATAGTAAAGTTATAAATGTTTTTCAGAAGTTTTGATTGAGCAGTAGACCACACTTTGTTAAGATGGGACAAGGATAACATTGTTACATTAGAGAAAAAGGATCCCTGAGAAGTTAATTGGTTTTTGAGTTTAATTATCTTTATTATTATTATTATTATTTTTATAATAATAAAATGACGATGACGATGACCATGATATCCAGTTTCGATACGAGTGTAACCGAACGCGTTCCGCAGATGCGATGCGATAAAAGTGGAACGGAAATGGAACGCAATTAGAACGCGAGTGGAACGCGAATGGAACGCATTTAGGAACGCGTTCCGGACGCGTTTTCTGTTAGGTTATTACTGAGGAGTACTGTAGTATACATGGCAACTGTCACAAGAAGCAACACTGCATTAAGCACTACATCGGCATGACATCAATCTCTTTAACCCTTTCCTGCATGAATTTTGGATTATTTAAGAAAAAAATATTTTAGTATTGATTATGAATGTTTTAGAGGTGCATTTGCTGTCCAATAAAATTTTTTTTTTTTTTTCATGTTTTTGGCCGATTTTGGAATTGTTGCTCCTGAGCAACAACATGCAGCAAGGGTAACGTTAAATTTGCATGGCAAAATATAATGAAGTTATAAATTCATATTTTTTTAATAGAAAATTGGCATATAATAAAAGCTCAAATAACTAAGTATGAAGCACTGTTATATGTTCTATATTAAAAGTCAGAATCCGACATATTGTCAAAATTTTCAACCTCATCTCCATCTTCAACTTCCCTATTATCCCCATCTGGCAAAATTATCCTTGTCTGTCTGGTCTCTACATTCATTACATTATTGCTAAATCTTATCCTCTGGGTAGAACTTCCATAAAATGAAGTTGTTGGTATACTATGAGCTATATTTCTGCTATTTACAATATAAAATGACAATAAAATGAATAAATATATAGGGAAGAAATGAAAATTTCTCATAAAATGGCTTTGGCAACAATTAAACATTCAAACAAACTCTCACAGGATAAAATATTGTGGTATTTTCAACTATCACATTGAATTTCGCATGTGGCCTAGTCATGACTTCTCAGAACCCTTGCTGCATGATGTTGCTCTGGAGCAACAATCCAAAATCGAGATCTTATAGACGGTAAAACATAATATTTTTACAAAAACATTGATCAATATTCAGAATGTTACCAAATTTATCAAACAATATTTTTATAATGAAAGAAAAATAGCATACCGCAGTGTAAACAATCATTCAACTTCGAGCAATGATATAATCCGCCATTTTGTTTATGGTCAATGAATTTTTGACAAGAAGTACTTCATGTAATATTTTCATACACGAAGTTGCATGCATAATTAATGTATGTGACTGCCTGTTTATCAGCTCTTTCATGTTAACTTAGCAATTGCTTAGTTCGGTTTAAAATATGTTGCGACTTTTTATTTCTGGTTGGAAATTTATTGCTCAAAACGGCTCCTTTAAAATGCATATGACATGAATTTTTTATTTTCTTAAATGAGAAAACTCTTTGATTAAGCTGTAGTGTAACTTATTTTTCAATTTCTTGTTTTCATTGTTTGTTCTCGAGATATTTCAATTTGTTTGGTATGTAAATGAGTGTGAATATGTCCGCTAATTTATGACGCCATGTTGGTTGCAAGCTCAACTTACACTGGTTATAAATCTATTAACTCTGAAAACTGTATGTGTCAGTTCACGTTTTTCTTCAGTATTTGATCACATTTACCAGTGAGTGAAGTTATTATCGTGGATGATAGCCCTGATATTCAACCATTTTGAAGAACTTGCAACCAACGTGACGTCATAAATTAGCGGACATATTCACACTCATTTACATACTAAACAAATTGAAATATCTCGGGAACAAACGATAAAAACAAGAAACTGAAAAATAAGTTACACTACAGCTTAAAGAATTCTTTCCTTTTAGAAAATAAAACATTTCATGTCATATGCACTTTAAGAGCCATCAAATTCATTAAAATAATTAAAACGAATTTCGATTGCCTGTTGAAAATAAGAGAGAGGTAGGGACTCATAGCGTGCTACATGGCGGTAAGGCAAAAAATTTTCTACCGTACCGGGGACGAACCGGTGACCTAAGGAATACCGATTTGGTAATAACTACAGTCCTTTGCTCTACCAACTGAGCTAACGGTAGATTTTAAAAACTAACTTCTATTTCATACTTCTATACACGCAAACTATTAGAAACCTCTTGTCGTTTTATTACAAATCTGTCAGAAACTAGTTGTGATGCTAATTGGTCGCGTTACCTGTCACATCTGGTCCAGGCTTGCCCGCGTTAATTGGACGCGTTACCTGTCACAATTGGCCCAGTCTTGCCGAGTAAAGTGACGTCATAGATTTTGCATACTAATTACTTCCGCCGCCATATGGGGGTCTTTTACTACCAACCCACAGGAAATACATCAAATATAGAAACATACTTACAGAAGAGAATCACGTATTATTTGTGGTCGACAGCAGCCTTAAATTGGCCAATTCACATACTTGTTGCTTTTACATTATTTGACAAATTGTTCCACGCTATTGCTCCATTACAACTGATTCTTTTTTTCATGTAATTTGTTTTTGGGTTTTGTAAAAGGAAATCATTACCCTTGCTGCGTAAATTGTAGTTTTGATTATTAGTGACTTCGAACAATTGGTTCACACTTTCTGGTAGCTCACTATTTTTCACTTTATACATAAACACTAACAAAAATTTTTTCCCATCGATCGGCTAATGGTTGCCAATTTAATTCCTTAATTCGTTGTTATTTCATATGGTCTGGCAGTGATGACCCTTGCAGCCCCGTTTTGCATTTTCTGCATTTTGTCGGGCAGATATTCGCTGCAGTTAGTCCAAACATAGCCTACGGTGTGCACCCCAGCAGAAACACGTCTCGTGATGGGTCTACGAATAAACGAAGAAAAGCTTGCCCGGCCTACGTCATATCCGATTTACGTTTTGGGTAAATTAACTTCAATTTATTCAAATTTCTGAAGTGTGCGTGAATGTAAATTTTCATTTGGCGCTTATTAAAATGCTCCCTGGCGGGCTTTGTGCAATACAAATGTGTTCTTTACTTCAAAGTCTCGTCGAATAAAAGCGATATTAATTTCTTGGACAGCAAGGACACTGTACATAAGGAGTTAGACGACCTTTCCTTCTCCAATTCACCTACAAATAGCATTTATAAAGCATGCCTGGCCGCCTTGCGTTAGGAAACAAACGGTGAAACGGAGAAGCTTCAAAGAACGGGTTAATATGTGAACTAGAGCCTAAACAATACAATAACGAACGTACACAAAACAGCATTATAAACACTATTGGTATTAATGGTATACCGCTTAAAGTACAGCGAAATGTCGTCAGGAAACTGGGATATTTCGAGCCACTCTTCGACTTCCGAAATTGGATGTCTTGACAAGCTTCAAGCCTTCAACAGCCTAACAGTTTGTACGAATGACAAGAACTTTTTAGTCCATCCGGACATGTGTTTAATGGTTGGGTATATATATATATATATATATATATATATATATATATATATATATATATATATATATATATATATATATATATATATATATATATATACACTGTAAATTAAAAAGGGCTGAAACGACCCCAAAAATGGGGCCAAAACGGTGACCGCAAAATAGATCTTTTTTTGGGGTCAAAATGGCACCTATAACAATGCTAAGGGGTGATTTGGCCCTTCCAGTGTAAGGGCTGTTTCAGCTTTTAGTAGGAGCTGTTTTGGTAAAAGCAGGGGCTATTTCAACTTTCAATAGGGGCCAATTCAGAAAATTAGGGGGCTATTTTGGCATTTCGAGGAGTTAATTTGGCTCCCATTTGTGGTCATAATGAACCCCAAAAAGCGTTGATTTTGCTCGCTAACTGGAGCTGTTTTGGCTACTGAGTTACAGAGTAGTTTCAGCCCCAATGAAGAGCTGCTTTAAAACCGACGGAGCCGATATAGCTTTTCTAATGGTGTAGTTTTTTAGCACCCAATTCTATTTCTGAGCCATTATAGACCACAAGAAAGGCCAATTTAACCCCTACTTTTTTAACCAGAGCTATTTTGGCCCTCTCAGAAGAGCACAGTTTCAGCCCCAAAGAAGAGCTGCTTTAGAGCCGAAGGAGCTAATATAGCTTTTTTCATGGTGTAGTTTGTAGCACCCAAACGGTCAATTTGGTCCAATTTCAGAGCCATTACAGATCCAAAAGAAAAGCCAATTTAACCCCTACTTTGTTAACCGGAGCTGTTCTGGCCCTTTCAGAGGAGAGCAGTCTCAGCCCCAATGAAGAGGTGCTTTAGAACCGATCGAGCTGATATAGCTTTTTGGTGGTGCCGTTTTATATAGTATTTAAAGTCATGTGGATTTGGTTGCACTCTTGCATGTAGACGTATTCTACATGTATATAATGAATCAGGCAAAAATATTGGGGTTTATTTGGTCTTGATTAAATTATTACAATTTCTCCAACAGACCAAGATTGGAATGAATTATTGCAATATAAGTTGAGATAAATGTACCAATTTCTGTATTATAAACACAATACTATAACTAAAATTACAATATACATGCACAGTAGTCAGTATTATGGATCTCACCGAAATGTGGGAACCATCAAAAGATTCGTACATATATGCCATATGGCTCCGAAAGTTTACAATTCTAATTTTAAAGAGCAATCAAATTGTGATAGCAATAGCAGGCGCGGTTGTTAACATGAACGCAATACGAATAATTTCTAATACATTACCACAGTTCGGTGAGATGTGAGACAATACACACATTCCATCAATAACATTAACTTGGGTTAGCATATGTCAACATAACTCTCAAAAAGTGTAAAATTACTGTAGTACTAATACTCATGAGTCATGACAAGTCATTGAAGAGGGCTGTGACCCTCATTTCTGTCTTGCCCATGCACTACTATAGTCTGCAAGGCAGACAAGATGCTCTTCGTGTGGCAGTACTCAATATTGAAGATGTAAAAACTTGCCAATAAGGCGATAATTGCATCAAAACAACTGTTGCTTGTTATGGAACTTTCATCCTTTCCCTCGATAACGTATGATTGACAGTTTCTAGTCGTATTCTAGTAAGTTCGATGCCAACGACCACAATATGGGTTGTGATAAGTTTGAAATTATATCATTTGCATCTTCAGACTCCTACAAAAAAAAACACAATTAGAATGTATGCAATAATCCGCAATTACAGGGGGTTATAGGACACATAAGATATAAGGTCTCACCAAGAAACCCATTAATAAAGCTCTTACATACATCAGACACAAAATACCTGAAAAAGTATATCACACCCGACCCCTATAACTCTTCCAAAAGCATTAAGTATAACATGACTTAGATTCTGCACTTCACTTGGTGGAATTAATATTAGAATCACGATGAAATCCACCTTATCACAACCCGCACACCCGATTACCTATATATACATGAACTTACGGTTACAGCTTAACAGCTGGCCTCTGTAGCTCAGAACGCTGCACCGGAATCGCAGGGCCGTAGGTTTGATTCCTACCAGAGGACCTTGTGCTGCATTTTTCGCAGTTGTTCCTGGTTAGGTCTTAAAATGTATATATTCTCACTTGGATTCATTATAATATTAATTCCACCAAGTGAAGTGCAGAATCTAAGTCATTAAGTCCACCTTATCACAACCCGCACACCCGATTACCTATATATACATGAACTTACGGTTACAGCTTAATGGCTGGCCTCTGTAGCTCAGTTGGTTAGAGCGCTGCATCGGAATCGCAGGGCCGTAGGTTTGATTCCTACCAGAGGACCTTGTGCTGCATTTTTCGCAGTCGTTCCTGGTTAGGTCTTAAAATGTATATATTCTCACTTGGATTCCAAACCCTAACATTCTAATATTAAGTTTAACATAACAATATACAGTAATATTTTGAAAAATCAATATATATGCTGCCTCGCAACAAACTCTCCTAAAAATAAAGATATACATATAACTATACGATCTTTTTTAACCCATTAAGCACCAGGGCTCTCCCCTTTACGAGTAGAATAGGCGTTCGACAGAGTAGAGTAGTAAAGTTCAAAATCATTTTGTTTGAATTACTTCACCTATCTATTTGTTTAAAATTATGTATGGTAGATTCTGTGGTATGAACACTTGCAAAATCACTCAAAAAAATTTAAAATATGTGACATTATGTTGCCTTGACAACACTTGACACAACGTGAGCCTGCGTTCAGTGCTGGCCAATTGCTAATAGTTCATGTTAAATCAATGTTTGGAAAATATAGGCAAGGGGTTGCTGCATGCATTTATTTCTAGTTAAATATTAATTGGACATGCTCATGTCACTAGTGGTATTTATTATATCTTGGTCAGACAAAACAAATTCCACAACTCACAGGTTAAAATAGACATCTTGTGAATTATATCACAAACGATTAATAATTTTTTGCTGCAGCAAGCACAGATTCACCAGAAACATGTAACCTCATGAGTTTACACACCCCAAAACAACACTTTCCTAAAATGATAGCTTTCCTTCATCATTTAATTTTATAACTGGACTTAGCTGATCTGTTCTTATAGTTTTTATATTTTTAGACTTTTTGTTATTCAAGTTTGAAACGAGACCAAGATTGGTAGCGTTTAATTTTGACAATTTAAGAGAATGTAGTTCTGCATTACTGTTTTTCTCTGTATTTCATCCTTAATAAGCCTACCATTTTTAAATTTCAAATTGCCTCTTTCTTTCCTCTTCTATATATTAATAGTTTTTCTTTGGAAAATATCAGTAATCATATTTCTAATCTGTACAGTTCTGTTCCTACACAACATCTTCGCACCCACACATCGTGTTTAGGACTGAAGTTCCAGATCATGGAAATGCTCTGCCAACAGCCCTGCGGGTTCCCAAAGAGTGTATAGCCCATGTATATCATAGTACAAACCATAGAAATAAAATTAAAACAATATATTTCCTTTCAAATGCTTTTTTTTTTCTCATTAATGTACAATAACTAGGGAATTTTATGTAAAGCGCAATTCTACATTCTCTTCGATTGACTTGAATATGTTTATGGCTAGCATTTATTTGATGTACTACAACAAATCCACTAAGTTTCAATGGACATAGCATCTCCCTATTTGAAATAAGCCATAAGGCATTATATTTGGTATTTTAATTAATATCTTAATTATTACAGAAATGAGTCATGCGTTTTGACAAATGTTGATCTATATTTTCAATATTAACCCCTTAAGCACCAGCGTTCTCCTCTCAAGACAGAGTAAAAAAAATAAAGTAGGTCGCAATGCGACTCAATGGGTTAACTATAAACACGGGCAAATAGGCCAGTTAAACCCATTAAGCACCAGCGCCCTTACCTTGACGAGTAAAATCATCTGGTGTTAGACAGAGTAAAATAATAAATTAGGGCACAATGCGACTCAATGTGTTAACAACACACATGGGCAGATAGGCCAGTTAACCCCATTAAGCACCAGTGCTCTCCCCTTAATGAGTGAAATCATCTGGCATTAGACAGAGTAAAATAATAAATTAGGGCACAATGCAACTCAATGTGTTAACAACACACCTGGGCAGATAGGCTAGTTAACACATTAAGCGCCAGCGCTCTGCACTTAATATTGTCCTGCGATAGGCAGAGTAAAATAATAAATTAGGCCGCATTAGGGCACAATGCGACTCAATGGGTTAACTATGTACACATGGGCAGATAGGCTAGTTAACACATTAACCACCAGTGCTCTCCCCTTGATGAGTAAAATTGCTAATTATGGGTCAAACTAGGATGAGAGTATTTTAAAGTTGAAACATAGTTGCAGAACACTCATCAAAGCTTTAATAATATTTTGTTCATCTGGAACTTGAAATGTCCTTTGTGTATTGATAAGCAATTCATGCATGATTTTCAACCTGATTTGACAGAGGCTATATAAATCTAAAATACCAGTTTAAAAACTTACATTATCAAATGAACCAGTGTTGCCAGTATGCCTGATTCAGGAGATGATTCTTGATTGGGCAAAGTTAAACTAGACTGGGCTACTAGCAAGTGATATGTCGCAGGATTTGAGCTAGTAGTGAACTGGATATTTCAATGTTGTGTGCACTTTTTTCATCGTCGCTGTCACTTTCAACTAGAACCTACATATACAAAAAATAAATAATCTTACATTCGTATCGTATACGTGAAGCTATAAGAACATATTTTGAATAATTAATGTCCGCTGTCGTGATTTGGCCATCAGCAAACAACAGTCGTCGACACGAAGGTGAAGAAAGTAAATAACATTTGCCAGAATTAGGCTAGTACAGCACGAGACGTTTCTTGAACGTATTTTCCTAATAAATTGTTTATTTGTTCAAAATATACTGCAACGAACGAGGTTTTACGCTTGTATTTTATCCGTATCCCTCGTCGAAGCAAATCCGAACGGCCAACGTTCGATAATGGCGCCAAAAGTTAGTACGCATGCTCGAGAATGATCGCAAACCCGATTGCTTACGGGCGCGTGCATTCTCGTTCCCAGTTCCCGCGATCATTAATATTAATATTACACCTAGGCCTTATTCTATGATTACACGTTCAATTCTCGTGATTATTTTTCCAAATACCGTATTTATATTTACGATAATATTACTAAAAATCTGGAAAACAAATTTCAATACCCTACAAAATGAAACATCAAATCTCACCTTGTATAAATTAATCCAAAAAACGTCCTCTTCTTTTTCTTTGCGAGCATGTGCATTCTTTAAGTTTTATGCGGAAGTTAATTTGATACGATCATACGACGGACGATCGACACAATTAAGAGTCGATTTGACCGTGATTTGACGGAAGGGTCGATTTGACACAATATTAATAGTCGATTTGACACAATTAAGAGTCGATTTGACAGAAGAGTCGAATTGACACATTTACGAGTCGATTTGACAGAAGGGTTGATTTGA